AATAGATGGTTAGTTATAAGTGTTCAGGAAGCTATACATATTCTCGCTACTTAAACTTTCTAATGCCCATTTTGCTCTGGGGAGTATAACTCAGCCATCTTTGGCTTTTTAAAATCTTTTACCTAAAGTAGAGAGATGTCCATAGGCTGAGAACTGTGGTGATATCTTCATCATCTGTTTATACTAGGAAATAGTTTATGTGGCATTTTTCTCTTTATTTTGGCCTCATTTTACAAAATCAAATATAAAACAAAATAACTAACAAGTTGTGACACAAACAATAGATTGGTAATGAAATAAACATGGCCTGACAGGTTTCTGGTTGCAACACCTGGGTGAGCAAATAAACTCAAACAACAGAGACTCTGTGAACCCCTTAAAACACTGCAGGGACAAGAAAAAAACCAAAAGACTAATCTTGGGACTAAAGTGTGTAGTAATTTACCGTTTGGAGTCAGAGAGATAAGAGAAGCTGTCCCATCTTAGAGTTCGCATCCAAAAAGTCTGAGACCTAGAGATGTTTTCTATTCTAAAGAATCATCAGTATCTGCGGGGTATCCAAACAATATTGTATCAAGACATAAATAGTTAACAGAGTTACTTAAGAAATCTATAGCAAGCAGTACTAGAGTAACAGATCTGTGAAGAGTCTTGGCTTTTTTTTTTTTTTTACTAGCAATAAGAATAGTCCTGTCATGATTGCATTTAAATCTCACAAACCCTTGTCTCTGTGGCTCTGGCTGTTTTGGGGATAATGAAAAGCTCTCAATTAGAACAGATCTGTCCTGTCTATGTAGGTGCAATTGCTGTGTAGAGAAAAACAAAAACAAAACAAAAGACAATTCAGCCGTTCAAACTTCAACAACTCTTCCCTTCACATTCCTCTATCACAGATTACCTTTAGTAGTGTTCAGGTGTGCATTTGTGGACTGTAAGCCCTTTGCTGATCTTGAATTGGCTGATATATGGAATATGATCTCACCTGCTAATTCCATAGGTCAGCTAGCAAAAGTTTAACATTGTTGTTGACTTCCTGCTTACTGAAATCTATTCCCTTAGAGGCGCTCTCAACTGGGTCCATTCAGGTATCATTAATGGCACAAAAGGCTGTGAAATCAGGCGTAGTCCTGCGTAACCGGCAATGTTGATGTTTCGCTCTTGTCATGGCCATTGATGCCTTCTCCTACCTGAAAACTCAGCATTCATGTAGTCAATAGTGGTACAGGAGTGTTCAGTTTTAGAATGGCCACACTGATGCCAACACAAAAAGTGAGTTGTGAAACCTTTCAAATCACAAAGTCCACGTGTATATATGGAAACAAAGCCCACCCCATCTGTCACTGCTAATTGAAACCAATACAGCCTCTACCCATGTCACTTCCTCCTAGCTCCCATGCCCATTTTTCCAGTCTCTACCTATACTTTTGCCCAGTGTTATTCTGTAGCAGACAGACCATGGTTCCCTGCTTTGGTCCAGCTACCATTTACGTTCTCACTTTGTGGGGTTCCTGGCTTCCTGACCTTTGGCTTGTTTCTTGGACCTGTGCTGCCTTCTCTGACTTCTGGACTTCAAATGAATTTGTCTCTGCTTCTCTATCCCTGGCTTTGGCATACTGCATTCTCCATCATCAGGGTTTCCTCTTTTTGTATTCAATTCCCTCAGAACCTGTCTTCATTACCAGGTCTTCCCAGAGAAGGAAGGATTTGCAAGAGTGTGTTATTTACTTGCAGCTCTGAAAAACCAGGGTCCAATCTTAACACAGTTCAAGATTATTTTAAATAAGAATTTTTTTTCCCCCAACAATAAGAAGCGTGCTCAATGCATTTACATGGGCATTCAAAATGAAGTGTGTGCAGGAGATTGTTGTCTTTTACTACATAAAAGTACAAAAAGAAAAGAAAGAAAAATAAGCTAGGAAAAGGATACCAGACACAAGAGGAACTCTCCTTTTCTTTTCTGATCGGAAAGGATCCCACTTCTTACGACTCCTTTTAGATCTTAATTCTTCATCCCACCATTCTAAAGCAGAAGAAAATAAGAAAAAATGCTCAAGATTATCTGCCATTATTATAAACTAGTGTCTGCTGCTGAAGTATTATGATGACTGCACCTCCACTTAACACTGTAACCACCATCTTCTGACTTGGAGGTCTCGGTCCACTTAACCCCACATACTCAAACCCTAATGGTAGTCTTCATAAACGAAACACAGAGCCAGGCACAATATAGAGATAACTATACAATAAATAGCCAGGGTCACCATGATAGATACAAAGTATTTGTATAAAGCTCCCGCTCTGTACAACTATCTCCCTGGCCTCCCTTTTCTGATCTCATCTCCGGTAGTGCTCTGGCTGTAAGCAAATCAAGTGGGAAAGCTTGAGCTCTCTAATAAATGTTGCTACTATGGAGCATTCCAGCTACTCCTGACCCATTATTACCATTGCAGATAGACCATATTGACAGCTGCAAGAAGCAATAATGGAGGCTATCCGTATCTTGTTGCTTTAAGACTGTAAGCACTGTGTGCTTATCATTTCAGTAACTTTCTAGCTCATTAGTTTCACGGCAGATTACTAAAAGCACAGTGAAACTAATCAGAATTAGAAAGTTACTGAACGCTTTAGAAATCAATGCAGATACAGCACTCAGTACACAACATAGAACATGCACAGGTTTAAAGCAGCAGAATATGGATATATTATCCTTAGGGCCACTCAGGCTGCCAATATAATCAATCTACAGTGGTAATATAGAGCCAAGAAGTAGCAGACATTAAAACGGTCAGAATCAGCTCACTTACAGAGTCACCATCCCAGGCTGCTGTATGGAGCTTCACAAATTTGCTTTTAGCCATGTTTTTTTCAATTAATTGCAACAGAGCCAATCACTAAGCTTCTTTAAAATAAATATATAAGTAGAGAAAAGTAGGTACAGTGTAAACTGGGCTTATACAATGCTATTTGCATTACAAGCTAATAAATCTATTAGTGAAAGGCAGCATATTGATATTTGTCATCTGTCACCACCATTCTCTTCTGGTTTGGGGGGGTGGGAGAGGAGGGTGTGTGTGTGTGTGTGTGTGTGTGTGTGAGTGAACAGTTGCCTGGCATTAGTGAAATATTAAGCCTGGGTCATTTAATCTAAGTTCAGATTTATGCTGCATCTCGCTGCTAGTACAGTTAGAAGCACTAGAGAAAACGTTGAGTGGGAGATAGGAGAATGGCAGGCATTTTATTACTGATCATAGTGAGAGACTATTTTACCATATACAGTTAACATGTTCTTGTTGCTAACTGTTTGAACGAAAGAAATTCTTCTTTTGTGAACTGTGGTGTCAGGGGAAAATATAAATAAATACATTCCTTTTGCCTATCCTGAGTCATTGATTCTGGTGTGAGATTATCATACCAATATACAGTTAAAAGTTATTTATTTTAATTTACTGTTTAGAGGAAAAAAAAAAAATTCCTATTTTACATTATTTTCCCTTTGTGTGTTCAATCCAGTTTGTTCTGTACGAAAACTGTGCAGTGTTTCTAAACTGCAGATACAATGTTACAGCAGTAAATCCACCAGTCACGAACACATTTTGCAACACAAAACATCTATTTCTGTACTACTTCACTGGAAGTAAAGAATCATTTCATCTGAAAAGGTTTTGTTGCCACCAAAAGAGCACAGAGACGTGAAAGTTCAGAGCCAGAACGTATAACAGACTATTTACTGTGAGCATATTATCGGCAATTATTTAGACTTATCTTTATACATACTATATTGCACTATTGTGTTTTTTTTCTATTTTCTATTTATATATGAACCAAACCCCAAAAGGAATCATTATGCCTAATTGCGCTCTATGAAGCTTCACCAGACAGCCACCAATCAGGAGGAGGGTGGGCGGCAATGCGGTACTAGATTACAAAATAAAAATAGAGACACAAGGTTACACAAGGTAAAAATCTAAACTGCATTTTAAATTTAAGGTCAAAATAGCTGAACTGTTACGGGTTCGATGTGTTTTATCATACTTTGACTCAGATAATACCATGACATTATATTTAACCACTGGCTGTACTTTAAAATGTAAAAAAAAAAATAATAATTTTTAAAAAATAGCTCAACCGTAAAAATGTCAGCTATGCTTTCAGTGTGGCTACTGTGGCCTTAAATCTGAAATTCACTTTGAATTCTCACTTTAGTAAATAACCCAGTTTGTCTTTTTTAAAAACATACAATTGGTCAATGTGTAGAGCATGTTAATCTACATATTATATACATACATACATATATAAAACTTTCAGCTTCGTAACAGTCACCCACAATGAACAAATACAAATATTCGAAATAAAACTGCTGCAGAGCTGTCCCAAGTGTCCAACCTGGACAAGCCATAAACAAAACGTATGACAAACGAACTTCACATTTAGTGTTGGTTTTAATGATTAATCATACCTGAAGAGATATCTATACTTTGACGATCCTCCTCCAATCTCTGGATACGCTCTAGTAGCTCACACTGCATGTTATCAAACAGAAGAACCTTTTCACTCTTTATCCAAAAAAAAACACACTATAATCAACAATACAATAACCATATGTAGAATATTTTTCTACCAACAGGTATTATTTACTGTTTTATTATTGTTTTTTCAGAAGAACATTAAATTCGACATTGGGGTACAGAAGGAAAAAGGAAAAGAAAAAAACAGGTGTTGGGGGGGCAAACAGTACGGGGGGGGGAGGGGGAGGAAACACGTGCAAACAGTACAAGGTCCACAATATAGAGATCACATTACATGGTGTACAGTAATTTTCGTGAATCAGCACTTAGTCTTCTTTTTCAATCTCAATTGGTGCCACAATATAACAGTTAGCTTATCTACTTTGCACCCTACGTGAGGGCCTTGCTCCGCTCCCTTAGGAGACATCAACTTTTGCAAGCCACTTTAGTGTATACCGTCCATAGTTGTGTGCAGTATATGGTAGCCGCTGTGGCTAAGCATTTATTGAGAGACTGTGGTTATACCCTGTAGTGTGTCGTGTTCGAGAGTCTAACCTACGCTCATGTGTCGGCTGCTCTGAACTTATTGTGACCAGCAAGTATGATCCTTTTGTGTGAGCTGCAATATCAAGTAGTTGTCACTTGGGGGGAGAGGGGGTTCAACAACTTTCTAATGGTTACAATATTAACAACATTATAGTGCAGGCAACCACATGAAGAGATCCTGCAAAAGAAATAGCATAAAGGTCTGATGGTAAGTAGATCTAATATCAAACAAACCTAACAATTTCAGCAGGTTTGATACCAGCAAATGGTGGGTGTGATTGTGGAGAGCGAGGACCGTCTATGATGCAATTTGCTGAACAAAAGTGTGGTCCGGGCACTCAAGGATCAGTTGAACATCAGGTTTATTGGAAAAGTGCAACTTTTCGATCCCTTGTGTGATGGAAACCTTGCACTTTTCCAATAAACCTGCTGTTGATGCTTTCTGAACTTGAGAAAGATTCTTTGTGGGATCGAAACGTTTCACTCATATCATAAGGGTCTAATTTTAGTCTAGAGCAGTGGTTCCCAAACCAGTCCTGAAGAACCCCCTAACAGTCCAGGATTTAGGGATTACCCAGTTGTGTCTAAAGTGTTTTTAGGAGAAAAAAAAAAAACACTTTAGACAACAGGGTAATCCATAGATCCTGGACTGTTAGGGGGTACTTGAGGTCGTGGTTGATTTCATCCCGTAAAAAGTTTATGGAATTAGTACTTTATTCCTCAAATGCTGGAATTGCATTATGAACCAACAGCAATGAGAGCTTACACACAGCCTGGTTTAATGAACCGA